AGAAACCACTCTTGCCAGCCCTGTTATACACAGAATCAGACCTGCAATCCTCTTATCTGAAATATGCTTTAAGTAAAATAGATACACATAGGCTTTCCTTTTTTTAAATAGAGAGATACGCTCAATACTTCTAAAAAGTCAGCCCATTCCTGAATGTTATAGTTCAAAGTACTTTTGAACCTATAGATAACTTCCTGGTTCACAGGAATTACCACAATATTTAGAAGAGTTTTTTAGTTGCAAGCTAAGGTGTTTTGTAACTAAGTGAGAATTAATTGTTCTTCAAAAAAAAAATCAAACACAAAACAAGAATAAGACTACTATCTGGCTGGCTGATGTCAAGTATCATTCCCACGGTAGGGATTTTTTTAACTATTATTCTTAAGTAGTAACATTTATTCTAACCACAAACAGTGAACAAACCCTGACTGCTTTCCATTTAAATGATCCTTCTAAAACATACACAATAAAAATCAGACAATTTCTTCAGAAGAAATCTACTCATAAAAGAAACATCGCAAAAATGACTAGCTTTGTTTGGGTTTTTTTAAGAAACAGAAGGTTTTCTCTTTAAAGGAAAAACAGCCACAAATTAAAGACAAAAAGAACTTAATGAGAAATTCTATCCTAGGAGGCTACACAGTTTTGTAAGACTTGTCAAAGGCACTTCAGCTAAACACAGCACAACACTGAATTTTACTTGCAGTGCTGGCTCCACACTTCTCAATGAGGTTTGGAAAGACCAGATGTTTGCCACCATAAGAGCTGCTGCTGCTGTTAACAACTTTCCTCTGGAGTTCTGTTATCTAAGGATAACTGCTGAAGTCAGAGGAGGTAAAAATGAATAGAGATATATGTTAATAAGAGAAAACCCTGAATCTGCACCTGCTTCTTTTCTAGGCATGCTAGAAAGATGTTCATTTTCAAAAGCCAGTCAAATTTTGTCCAAGCCATGTTTTGGGTTTTTCTTTTTGTTATTCACATGAACTTTTTTTTCAATAGTTCTTCACTTAGGATTTATTACAAGGAAATACTACACACAGATGTGCACACAGCTTAAATAACTATTAACGACACTGCTTACAACTTGAAAAGTTTTATGATGAATACTAACTATCAACAGGAATGCATTTAAAGCAGTATTTAACGCATCCATCACATAAGAATGCAACTAATAGTTTCGATTACTTTTTTTAGTTAAATAAACTCTTTTATTCACAGACTTAAAGATAGTAAATTAACAGGCTTAGAGAGTTAGCACTTCAGGGGAAAAAATAAAACTCCTGTAAAGACAGAAAAAAATATTTTTTGTTATTTTTTTAACTAATTTAAATAGATTTCTACAGAAAAGTAAAGCTTCCAACATTCTGGTATTTTTCACAAATTTTCACAGTAATTTTCTCAAGTTTAGTTTTTATGTGCACACAAACACAAAACAGAATTAATGTCCAAAACCAAATGTAGAACTTGCCTCTTGTAAACTTACTTGACTCAAGCATAGTTCTTGTACCCTTTCTAGTCTCTCGTCTCTTTGAGGACAGCTTGCAAATTCTAACCTTGACATCTTAAACATCAAGCCAAGAAATCCAAGGTTAAAACTACAAGTTTATAAAAAAAACTTGTCTCCTGTTACAGGATCAACATATCTACATCAACTAGAACACTGATGAGGAGAAAAAATTAATTCTGATTTTAACCGTGCAGATGACAAAGGTCCTTAACAGCTGCTATTTTGAATAACCAACTCTCCCCCACTATTTGGAAAGATGATGATTTAAAAGCATACAATCTACCTATATTTTTTAATTATTTCATGTAGCAAATAGTCCTACATAATTACTGGGTTAATTAAATATTTGGTGGATTTAGACCAGGGCAGAGTTCAGGAAAGGTAAATGTGGAGAAGAAATACAAGAAATATTTAAGCACAAAACATTCAAATTCTGCTGGTGGTGACCTTTAAAAAAGTTTCTATTACATAACACTGAAAATTCTCATCTCTGCATATAGTGCTGACATTAATTTTAGGTTATTTTTTTCCTTGTTCCATTTTCCTATCCTGTAATGTGGGTCACATCAATTTGTTTTAGCAACAAGTCCCAATTAAGCCACAAAGGAAAGAAAACAGATGATGTGATTTCAGCTCTTTCATTTTTTCCTCATGGTTTAAAGGAGTTTCAAATAGAAGCAAATAAAACTTTAGTTGCTATGCAAGTACCTACAACTCTGCTATTCACATGCTTCTGCTCACGGAAATAAGAACTTTTTAAAATCCTCTATTTAACACCTAAAACTTACAAAAGTTTCAAGTCTGATATTGTCACTTTAATTAGATGCTAGTTCATAGAGGCGTTAGGCATCCATAGTTCCTACAGAGCTCATACCTACAGTTACTACATATTCTTGGATCTAGAAATAGTTTTTAAAGTATTGCTCTTTTCACAACTTTCTTGCTACAAAAGATATGGCTGTGTCCTCCAGTTACTATGGAAAGAAATAGTTCCACAGTTACAAACTGCTATCTGAGCTTTCTTTAATACTAAAAAAAAAAAAATCTTAAAAAACACTAGTGTAAAAAGTGAGAAAGTGAAATATGTTACATTAGTAATTGCTGATTATTATTTAAGCATAACCTCAGGAAACACAATCATAAAACAAGAAAACCACTACTTAGCTATTAAATATTTTATAAAGAAAGTCTTCAAACAACTTAGTAACATTTGTTACACTGAGTGAGTACATGCACGGTAATTATGCAACTGCACATGAAGGAAAGACTAAAATTTGTTT